TGATATTGTTCAAATCTTCTTGTAAGCGAGGCAATAGCTCGGTCAACAATAGGTATAAAATAGGTGGTTCTAAATAATTCCTCTGGAGACTGTGTGGCAACATTTGTGTCATCAGGGTTCTCATCAAATTGTCTCTTTCTTTTAATTTCTCGCTTTTTATGAAATGTTGTGCCAATATCTAGCTCAAGTGCAATTTCTTTGGCTACCTCCAATGCTTCTAAGAAACCAGTTTCCCTGTACCCTTGGAAGAAAGAAATTATCCCTTGCACCTTCTTAATAGCAACATCAACAAGCATATCCTTTGCTTGCAAGTGCTTGCTTACTAAATTAACAGCATACAATACCTCATACCAAATGACTATTGCCACTATAAATTCAAATTCTCCAAGTTCATTATTTGCCAAACCTTTAGACTCACTGCTAGTTTTTAAATCATTATCAACATCAGATACTTGAAATTAAGAAGAAAAAAAGATAAGTTAAATTTTGAGGAGAGCCAGAGAAAATGTATAGTTATTAATATGTCAATGCCAAATACCTGAAGTAGAGCCTCTCGAATGTAGGCGCATTGAAATCTGATAGCTTTAACACTTTCAACACGACTCTCCCATCGTGTAGCTGACACTGACTTGAGAGTCAATCCCATTTTGTTATCTTTCATAATCTGCCATTTCTTAGTGGAATTAGCAAAAGTTGTATAAATGCGTTGGATGATTCCAAAGAAGTCCTTAGCTCTACCACAAGTCTTGGCCATATCACAAAGTATCAAATTAAGGCTGTGGCAACCACAAGCAGAATAGAAAGATTTAGGATTTACATCCAAAAGTCTCCTTTGCACTCCTTGATGTTTTCCTTTCATATTTGACCCATTGTCCTAACCTTGGCCTCTCACATCATCAATATCAAGATCAAGACACTTTAGTTCATTCTCTAGCACATCAAAAAGTCATTGTCCGGTTGTATCATTTACATCTAAAAATCCTAGAAAGGTTATCTGAAGATGAATCCACATATCTTATAATTAAAGACATTTGTTCTTGGTGGCTTGCATCAGGGGTACAATCAAGTATGACATAGAAATACTTTGCTCTCTTTATTTTCCTTACAATTTCAGACTTAATAGCAGAAGCAAGCAAGTTGATCAACTCATTCTGAATCTTTGGATCAAGATAATGAAGTAGAGTTTCTTCACTTGTAATACGATGAACATGCTCTTGGATAACTGGGTCAAATTCAGCCAACATCTCTATCAAAACTAAGAAATTTCTGTTGCTATCTTCATATAGTTTGTTGTTAGTACCACGAAATGCTAGACTGTGCTTGGCAAGAAATTTATCAATGCAAACAATTCTGAATAATACTTTTCTCCAGTGGTCTTTTTCTTTCTCAAGTTGTCGCTGAGCAGTTTTGTCAATAGCTTGATCACTTTGCAACCTACTGCATAACTCATACCAAGTGGTCATATTCAAAATATGATCTGCACTTGCCTCATGCTCTTTAAGCCTACTACCGAGATGTATCCAATCACTATACCCCTCATTTGCCAATTGACCCTTTCTATGCCTTTTTGTAAATAATTTACAACTGAAGCAAAATACTCTATTGAGTTCTTTAGAATAGACAAGCCAATCTCTATCGCAATGCTCTCCATTTGATAGAATTCTAGTATAGAATAGTGTAGAAAATCTTCTAGAATATCTATCCTTGGGACCTTTCTAAATTGATAAGTCTCTTCTAGGGCCCTTTTGCGCTAAAATATCTATCTGTTTAGGATTAAGTGAATCCCAATATCTTAGATCAAATATATCAGGCTGAAAAGAATCACCAATATTCTCGCTGTTATCACCATCATTATCTGTTTCAACATTTATGTTATTAATAGGAACTTCCTGAACCTCGGCATTATTTTCTAAGATCATTTTCAATATTACTATCAAGTGCAGGACCTTGATCAACTACCCCATTACCGGAAAGCACGTTTGATTCTTTTATAATAAATCTATCCTATCTGTTTCAACATTTATGTTATTAATAGGAACTTCCTGAACCTCGGCATTATTTTCTGTCCCTGTCTGACCATCTCTAAGATCATTTTCAATATTACTATCAAGTGCAGGACCTTGATCAACTACCTCATTACCGGAAAGCACGTTTGATTCTTTTATAATAAATCTATCCATTGCTCTTTTCTGAGACTGAGTTAACTCCTCGATTCTTTGTTTTTTCTTATGCTTTTGGTAACCGGATTCATATTTTCTAAATCGATTTGTAGAAGACATGGCTTCAAAAGATGAAAAGAATAAAATTAAAATTATACAAGCAGTTCTAGACTTTCATAAGAAGGATTTAATTAGTACAAGTACAATATAGATGGACTTGAAAAAAAAAACAATACCTTCAGTCCTGCAGGAGCCTTCGCCTCGGACCTCTTCCTATCGTTGGTGCCTGCTTCGGACCTCTTCCTATCGTTGGTGCCTGCTTCACTGCTTGCAAGACAAATAGATGAGCGCCGGCCGGAGACGAGATGATCAGATGAACACGAAGCGTCGCGCCGTCGCCACACACGCGAAGTCACCGCGAGGGCTGTGGACTTGCGGAGACGGGAGACGAGTGCGCGGACTTGAACTGGGTGCTGCCGGTCTGGCCTCGCTAGAATACATAGGGCCTTCTACTACTGGGCTTATTTTTTGAGGCCCTGTAATTTTTTGGGCCGACGTACGGGTTGCACATCCATGGCCACGGCCCTGAATTTATTGTAGGCAAGTAGGAAAAAACATAGCGCGGTCGACTAGGAGAGGACGTCGGATCTGGTGACAGCCCCTGTCCCTCCGCCTCCCCCTCCCCCTCCCCCTCCGCTCCCCTCTCTCCGCACGGATCTGGCGCGGACACGGTCAAGGAGGACTGGAGGAGAACGTGAGGTGCCGGCGGACTCCACCGTAGCGCACAGGTGTAGATGAGTAGCGAGTGGCGAGCGGAGGACCGGCACATGGCAAGCGATGGAAGCGGATAATGGCAAGGAGCACAAGCAACAAATATAATAATAACAAATCAGCCTGACTTATTAGCCGCAGAAATCATCCTTGTTCGCTTCAACTTATCAACCTGACTTATCAGCCATGGTACAATATTTTTCTCTCATAATAAATCAGCTTTAGCCAGCTTATCAGCCGCAGAAACCATCAGTGCTCCTCATCAATACCATATCTAGTGTGCATGCAGTGTAAGTCATACTTGCTCTGTCCCAAAATAAGCCATATTGTATCTCGTATCCTGAGAAGTCAATTCTACTTAAATGTGATCAAACATCTAAAAACTTATTAATATTTATGATAAATAAGCATTATTATATTAATTACATTATGTATTTTTTATAGTAAACCTAATTAGAGATATAAATGTCGATACTATCTCCTATAAATCTTAGTTAAATTTAAATAATGTGAGATGGGCATTTATTTTGAGATGGGTGGAATACTTTCCTTGCATCAGGTGAAGGACAAAGAAGCATGTAACTGCGGTAATTTATTTATATGAACCATTCATGCTCACAATATATATAATGTTGTCCTCGCCCCAAGTTCAGTAGTTTATTCATACATCACTGGAACATTACAGCCAGGTCTAGGAATCTAAAGATATGATTTGGTGTGGCCACGGCGCGGCCTTAGGGTGGCCACGTCGTCGGCTTTTCGCAGGCCGTTCGATCGGTCGCGCGGACGGTCCAGATCGGGCGAGCCGTGGTCGTTTTACGAAAAACCCCTTTAAGTTTTCAAAAATCAACCCGCGCTCCAGACGTCCTCTCAGAATTTTTTATAAAAAACGCCTCGTATTATTTTCAAATCAACGCTCGGTCTAGACCGGATGGGCACTTGTTTATTTGCAAAAAAGACCTCCACTTTATCAAAAATCAACTCGCGCTCCCCAGACACTCTCACCGTTTTTTTGCGAAAACATCCTCAGATTTTTTCCAAATCAAAATACAGGCCAACTTTGATTATATCTTTTTTTTCTCCAAAAAATACGTGTAGCCAGTGGACCGCGCGCATGGGCGCGCCCAAAAAACTAGTAAAATTTACTCGTTGAGGCCTAACTGGTCATAGAATACATCAGAGGGAGACCGGAGATCGCTTTCAGTAGTTCGTTAAGATTTTGTGTCGTGAGACACCATCTGCTACAAGGGCTGAGGTGAGTTCCTGTAAAGTAGAGGGCCTTATCAGTATCATCAGTTCATCATTGCATCCAAAAAAAAAAAAGCCGTTGATTTTACTCGAAGATAAAAAAAGGACATGTAGCATTGTACTTTCAACACGATGAGGTGCAACTCGTTCCGGAATCAGTACAGGCTAATACACTACCAAATTCATCTAAATGCTCAGGTGCAATAAACTGCGTAAAGACTCCATGAAATGAAGTGGGATTTGGAGCAAGCACCTAAAGACAAATCTTCAAACCGGATGAACAAACATGTAGTTACTCCGTACTTCACATCGATATCCAGCATTGACAAGGTTTCAACTATGGGCTTGCAAGTCCTGCCTCTGCCGGAGCAGAGCAAATGGTACCATGGATCTAGTATGTTAGGATGCCAAAAATGTGTGCCACCCTAGTTGAACAAAATTCTCTCTACACCACCGGCTTCCTAGGTGAAAAGGCTACCTGCTCCTTCAACTTCAATCCTATCATGTGTGCAGCCAAGAAAATCCACTCCAAGCTAGCTGGAGTCGGATCAATTCTGCAAGCTACACACTGTCATTACTGGACCCTACAAGACCATTGGGCGAAACGGTCCAACTGTCCAAGTACTCAAGCTTGGTGACAGAAGGTCCACTGGGTGGTGCAGTTAGTTGATGCAGGTGAGAGAAGGGAGAGTGCATGAGAGGTATAAAGGTTTTAGGAATCAGCATGCTACATAGGTGAGCCAGCTCTCATTAGGATAATTTGGACCTAGGATGCTACAGTTAGCAAGTTTAGGGATGTAGAGTCTCCATTTTTAATATATACTACTTAAGTGTATTCATGCACAGTTTGATGTAGTAGCAGTTTGACTCACAAGTAGCAAACAATTTTTTTCGTAGGCTCAACACGCTTAATGGTAAAGTTATGCAAAAGGGTCTTGAAACAACAACAATGCGCACCTCCTGCATTTCATTCTGTCCACAAAGTACGGCTCCCGTAGAAGATGGATTTACTATGTTCTTGTTTCTGTAGAAAGCATCCTGCAAGATTAATGTCATTAGAAGGATGTCTCAGGTGTGTACCAGCAAACCTGCAATATGACAAAACAATGGTGGAGCATTTCTTGTATTACCTGAACATGTCCTCGTTCGCCTTTCCAACTGTCATCTGGTCGTGATAAGACTGGTATTATCTTAACTCCAGTTGACTCCCAGTTCTTGAATCTCTCCTGTCAAATGGAAAATTATACATCTTTGTTATGTGAGACAAAGACTTCTCTGGCAAATACACGATTTGCATAAAGCACATAGGGGAAAATTCTCCAACCTGGTATGCCATCGATTGCAGACTTCTAGCACCATAATAAAGCCTCACATCAGCTCTTTCATTGGCAGCAAAACCGAACTCGATAAGTGAACGAATCGTACTGCATCAAAAAATACACAAGATTAATTTGGGCAAGATCAGAGGAAGCCCAAAATTTATAGTAGAAGCAAAATTAGCTAGTCAGCCAGACAGCCACAATACAGATGAAAACTGAGAATAGCATTCTTGAGGATTATGATTTCCAGCTATGGCTGACAGCTGACCTAGTCCCTGACCATAGTTCGTTGCTCCAGTAGTAGGTAGTTGGTAGCATGTCAAGCTCAAAGTTGTCAGCAACTACTTGTAGGAGGCTTTGGTAGTCTGTTAGCCATGGTAGCTAATTGTGGTGGAATCCAAAATGAGAGGAGGCTTGGGCCAGCAGAAGGGGGCTAGCAACTAGCATTGAGGGTAAGGGGTGTGGAATAAAAGGTATATGTGATAAAATGTCAAGGGAATTCCTACAACAACTACCTGGACATACTCTACTAAATAATACAGCAAACCGGTAACATAAATAATTTCGAAGGGGTTCTTTATTTTCTAATTTCACACCTCCAGAATATGAATAGTATAGCAATACCTACATCTAATACTGCATAAACACACAAGCCTTCTTTGCTGTGTTATTTGAAGAAAGATTGGATGTCGTTTGAGAAAAAGAAAGACTGGATGATTAATACACTACAAAGCCAAGTGTATGGCAAGTCACAAATTCATATGCATCGATGTGGTAAAAAAAACTTGATGCCGGGGAATACAAGGACATATTCTCCTTCAAAAGAAACTAGCAAGCAGAACAGTTCGTTTGTACATCGGGTTGCTGTTTGGTAACTGACAATTTAATCAACAACAAAAATCACGTCTCAACAAGAGGAGACAACAGAGGTATCCATCCATGGACACAGATTTGGAAAAGATATTCTTTAGTGATGAGGTTTAGTTATATCTACATCGATGGTTAGTACAATAAACACAATGGTCCAACAGCAATTTATATGCCGATGATGAGGCCTATGTGGCTGTGCCTTGCTTTGCAGTTAATAATATAGGGTAATGAGATTTGTTGGATGAGATGAACCATCATTATTGTTCAATGGGTTGACTGCAGATTCTTATTTAGCCAAGATTAATTATGCTTCACCATGCCCATGCTACTGAAGATGGAGTATGATGCAAAGTTATAAAATTGTTTATGAATTATGATATAACTTGAAATCCATTGAATTTTAACAACTGTTTTTCATATAATTTCAAACACAAGAGAACAATAATCTTTCTAGTTTTGACCTCAGTTTAACCTTGATTATTATTTGGCGCATGATCCCCTGAATGCTGCATTCATATGGTTATAACTCAAACTATGAAACCATCTACTTTACATCCTTCAATTATCAAAGCCAGAGCATAACTCCCAAGCCAAATTCACCTGGTTTGAGCAGGTTCCTATTCGAAGAATCCTTGACTTTTGTTTAGCTTGAGACTCAATCACCATGGACCATGCCAAAGTTCACAGTTGTCCTTGATCAAGAAGTAAAAAGAAAGAAAAGGAAAAACAAGGGCGAGTGTCATCCAAACCCTTCATTTTGACATCGTTAGTTCTCTTCCCACCTGTCTGCCCTAATTCTCTCTCCAAGCAATAGCAACCCAAAATTGATTTCGTATGATGTCCAGTGATTCAAATGTGTTGTTTTATCTCATCTCACCTCTGCGGTTGCAACCATAAAAGAACTTGTAATTTGCTAATATGGAAAAGAACTTAAAGCTACAAAACATTTTTATTAAAAAACCTTTCTTTTTCTTGATTTATTACTATGTGAAATGGATGCACACAAGGAGACCTCAAATGTACTCAACTTTGAACAGATGTGTAGCAAGCAGCAGATGCATAAGAACACGTAAGGCCATGATAATAACGACAACAGATACAAGACACCCCATTGGGAGGGGGGCCGTGACCATCCATTCTACCCTAGTGGCCACCAAATGACTAAGCTATCCCTACACAGAAAGTCACAACGAAGTACGTCAGGCTCATTAAGGACATGTACAATAATGTTGTGACTAGAGTTCGAACAAGTGATGGAGACATGGATGACTTCCCGATTAGGATAGGACTACATCAAGGGTCAGCTTTGAGCCCTTATTTGTTTGCATTAGTGATGGATGAGGTCACAAGGGACATACAATGGGACATCCCTTGGTGTATGCTTTTCGCGGACGATGTAGTGCTAGTTAATGAAAGCCGGACAGGAGTAAATCAGAAACTGGAGTTATGGCGAGAGACTTTGGAGTCCAAAGGTTTTAGACCCAGTAGAACTAAAACTAAGTATATGAGATGTGACTTCGGCACTACTACTCGGGAGGAGGAAGATATTAGTTTGGAAGGTCAAGTAGTGCCTAGAAAGGATACCTTTCGATATTTAGGATCAATGCTACAGAGAGACGGGGATATTGATGAAGATGTTAGCCATAGAATCAAAGCAGGGTGGATGAAGTGGCGCCAAGCATCTGGTGTCCTATGTGACAAAATGGCACCACAGAAGCTAAAATGCAAGTTTTATAGGACGACGATTAGACCTGCTACGTTGTATGGTGCAGAATATTGGCCTACGAAAAGACGACATGTTCAACAGATAAGTGTCGCGAAAATGCGTATGTTGCGTTGGATTTGCGGTCATACAAGAAGGGATCGAGTTCGGAACGATGATATACGTGATAGATTAGGGGTAGCACCAATTGAAGAAAAGCTTGTCCAACACCAGTTGAGATGGTTTGGACATGTCCAACGGAGACCTCCAGAGGCACCGGTGCGTAGTGGAATCCTAAGCCAGGATAGTAACGTGAAGAGAGGCAGAGGAAGACCGAAGTTGACTTGGGTAGAGGTAATAAAAGGAGACTTGAAATGATGGAATATACCCAAAGACTTAGCCTTAGATAGGAGTGCTTGGAAGACAGCTATTCACGTGCCTGAACCTTGATTGCTTCTGCTGGGTTTCAACTCTAGCCTACCCCAACTTGTTTGGGACTTAAAGGTTTTGTTGTTGTTGTTGTTGTATCCCTACACAGAAACTGAAGGAAGGGAGTGGATCTGGGCAGGAAGCAACTGGAATCATCAGAAGCAACGGCGCGGACAAGATGATGGCCTAATTGGCAATGAGGAACAGCAAGATGTGGCTTCTGCTTCACAGCAGAAGCAGAGCTCAGCTGATAGAAACTAATTCTAGCTCTGCTCTAGGAAGGTAAAACAATGTGCCATTCTTATTTGTTGATAAAGCATACCAGCTCTGTCTGGTGAGATGAATTAACGTTTATGTATTAAACCTGATGCTACATGAGACAAGCAACAGGTGCATCTAAGCAGAAAGGTTATTTTTCTGTGCTTTGAATGGTTGAAGGATGAAGGTTCAATAGTTGACAGATGTATAGATTAGGTTGTTCGGGTTAAGATGAGGTTACTTAAGTTCTAAGGGTTAATAAACATTATGATGTCAATTATTTTACTGCGCAATGCAGTTATCTGCCACAATGTGTGAGCAAACGATGATTGAAGAAACGAAGTTTTGATGACATTCTTCCTCCAAACAGGCACAATTACAACGGCTCATCGGGACATGCTGAGATCAGCACAGCAGATAAATTTGATGCGACTGTCCGTAGATTATATGATTTATGCGAAGTAAATATAAGGAGAACAGATGTATTGAGTAGAGAAACGAGGGATGAGAATGACCTGATCCCCGTCCCCGTCGCGAAGAGGAGCACGGTCTGCGCGACGTCGGGCGGATTTATCTTGTCGAGGGCGAACCCGTCCCCCGTGACGGCGCCGAGCTCCACAACATCCCCGTCTCGGAGGGTGCAGAGCCGCTCCGCAGTGGTCCCCGGAACGGTTTTGACGACGAACTCGAACCGGGGCCCCTCGCCGGGCGGCGAGGCGATGGCCATGAACGCCGGCTTGAGCTCGTCCGCGGCAGAGGGTACGCGGATCTTGAGGTACTGCCCCGGGGTCGTGTACGAGTCCACGAGGTCCGCGGCGTCGGAGAGGTCGACGATGACGTGGGAGATGGAGCCGTCGGAGGTGGCGGCGCTGACGGCGGAGACGGGCGCAGGGGTCCAGAGGGCCGCGTCCTGCTTGACAGCGTAGGCCGTGGTCAAGGAGCGGAGGCGGCTGCGGAGGAAGGGGAGCGCGCGCATAGGGAGCGGAGAGGCGGAGGAGGAGGGGTGGGCACGGAGGGCGAGTCGGGGAGGCATCGGGGCCGCGGAGACGGCGGCCATTACGACGGGTTGGGGCGGGGGAGTGAGAGTCGGAGTGTCGGACTGGAGACGGTGGGAGGCGCCGGCCGAGAAAGCTGGAGTAGTCTCAACGGATAGAGGGCCGTACGCCCTGGCTTGCCGTTTTATGGGCATCTGATGCTTCAAAAGCAGACAAAAAAAATGTGCTGCTATATGGGTGCCCAAAACTTAATGAATTGGAGTTCAAAAAAAACTTTTGTTTGGATCCCTTCATTTTAGATAAATTGAAATCTACTAAGGGCCGATCTTTAGAATTGAATTCATTCTAATAATTACAATTTAAACAAAGATTAGTTAAGCTAATATAGTTGTATATAGAATATATTTGTATATTTATTGTTAGGTGTAGGATCTCTGGTTGGCCTAAGGGGAGGTGAATAGGTCTGTCAAAATAAACACTCAAACTTTTATCAAATTCACCCTGCGACACTATCGGGCCAGAGCAGCGGCACTACCACACCTGCAGACAAATTCGAGTCACAGTTCAAAATCCGTGAATGAAAACTTAGATCGGAGAATTTTCCTAGCTTACTGCAGGTATAACAATTATAGATCAAGACATAGAAGTAGTAGGAACACCACACACAAGTAGATCGACTATAAACCCTAGAAATCACCTCAACCACAATATGTCATGCAAGTAATATAAATCAAGCACAAGTAACACAATAATTTATCCCGTGGTTCGGCTTGCCACCAAGGCTTACCTACCTCCACGTTGTTGAGGTTAGCCACTAAGGTTTAGGGCTTTCCAACCCTTCCTCGTTCTCAAGTCAAGAGACTTAACTCTTAAGATGGGGGTGAGTTTACTATCTTCAAGAGATGCTTACAAACTTCTCGGGCTGCCACACAAGTTGGCAAGCTTCACGGACGACGCTCTAGCGGGCTAGGAGCCAAGCTCCAAGAGTAACAAATACAACTACCGGCCAAAACATGAAATAAGTGCTCTTTAGAGTTGGAGAATCAATGGAGCTACTCTCTAATCGAGTTTTGGACCCTTTTCCCTTAAGGATTGATGGGGAATTCAAAGGATTTGCTTGGGGCCTTGAGGTCAACAATGGAGGAAGAGAGAGAGCTCCTGTTCTGTTTTGGACGTGCTAAAGTGAGGAAGAAGAGGCAGAGTACCGTTGGGAAGGAAGGGGAAGGGTATAAATACCTCTAGCCCCCAACGGTCACTTAAGTCGCGGCAATGCCGCGGCTCAAGTGCGGCAGTGCCTCTCTTCAAGTACGGCAGTACCGCACCACGCAAGACAGCAAGGATAAGAGTAAAGTGTAGACGTCTTGGCTATGAATCTGAAGATGCATGTGTATGTTTGAGCACTTGGTAGCACATATTAGCTTAAGCATTGTGTTCCCCTTTATAGTACGGTTTTTCCTATACTCTAATTCAAAATATAAAAGAATTTAAAACTACTTTGAGTTTGAATCCATCTACATTTATAATTGGGAGCTCCTTCGTTTCGTGTAGCATCTTCGAACATGAATCCTCTGCTTGTCATCTCGATAAATCTTATTAGTTCTATAATTGTGTGGTCATTATCACCAAAACCCATAATTAGGGCTTGATTGCACTTTTATTAGGCATGCAAGGGACATACTTATACGTTGCATTTCTACTGTAGGAAAGTGAGTTGAAGAGTGTGCTATAAGTTGAAGAATAGAATTATAGCATAATGATCTATAGAATCCATTTCCATCTCCCACACTATGAATTTGAGGTAGGCTTATTTGTGAGCTCGAAAAATTTATGGAATGTCAAATTCCAAGCCAAATAACTTGTATGCCTAACGATAAATATACAAATATATTCCATATATAACTATATTAGCTTAATTAATCTATGCCTAAATTATAATTATTAGAATAAATTCAATTCTAAAGATCAAAACGGGCCTTAATGAATTACGTATGGGAAAATTTACCTATCTCTGGTTATTTCTCAAAAAAAAACTTATCTCTGGTTATGCTAATAATAGGCAAAAATCCTTATGTATTGGGTGGTATGATTGTGCACTATCTTCATTTGACACCGAACGAGAAAGATATATTTTTTGTAAGACAACAAGCATTTGTACATGATTAAATTGCCACTGAAATTTTATATTACTTTTTAACATCTTAACCACTTTAAATAAAAAACTCAAAACTATAAAATTTTACATCTCTGTAAGACGACAAGCGTTTGTACATGATTAAATTGCCGCTGAAATTTTATATTACTTTTTAACATCTTAACCACTTTAAATAAAAAACTCAAAACTATAAAATTTTACATCTCATTGAGAGCTACGGCTTTCGTGTAGAAAGTATCTTCATTTCACACCATACAAGAATGATATAATTTTCTAAGGTGACGAGCTTTTGTACACGATTAATATGATGCTGAAACTTTATATTATTTTTAATATTTTAACGACCTTAAATGAAACAACTCAAAACTAGAAAGCTATAGTTCTCATTGAAAGCTACAATTTTTATCTAAAAATCATCTTTATTCAAAATTGTATAAAAAATATACGATTTTTAAGATTGAATCATGTCGGGGTCGCTGCACCAAGGATTTCCACCTGGACATCGCTGTCCACGGTAGCAAATCAGACCGCTTCGATACATGTGGCGCGGTAGCGTGTTCTTGCCACGCCAGGCACGTTGGTGCGGCCAGGGTTAGAAATAGAAATAAAAAAGTACTCCCTCCGTCCCATAATAAGTGCATTTCTAGAGTTTAAAATTTATCCCAAAATAAATGCATATCTAGATATAAGACAAACTAAGTTCACTTGTCTTTTTCTACTTTCTCTCTTCCTAAGGTACAATAATTATAATTTTATAGGGGTATATATGTAATTTCTTACTAACATTGATCTCCTCACATAAACTCTAGAAGTGCACTTATTTTGGGATGGAGGGAGTATATGTGATGATTTTTTTAAAGATTTAAAAAAAGGTTAAAAATAAAACCTTGGCCAGGGTTGAAACATTTCCGGTAAGTTCTGAACATGGACCGTTGATTGTTGAATGGGTCCCTGATAATTGGCTAAAGCGTCGATCTTTTTGCAAGTTGAATGTGCATGATATGGAATCTAAAGATAGTGTGTACAATATCTGAGTTACCTTGGCACGGAAACTGCACATGTGTTGTTTGCCTGCATGTTGGCACCAAATTTCCTTGCCACAAAAATTTTTAGAATAGTTTTGTTTTTGCCACAATCGAATTCTCAGAATTGACTCTTCCTCTTTTGTGTTTGCACAGGTTTCATCTTCGAGATGAGAGGCCAACCTCGCTGCTGACAGATCAACCTCAGAAAGTTCTAAATGAAACGTGTCATATCACTGTTTATAGTACCTACTCGGATGGCGACAAACCTGATTTTCTGAGACTGCTCATAACTCACTCTCTTATTTCTACCCTGAACTAGTGATACCAAAAAAAAAAGATGTATTTGATGAAAACTGAAAATTAGAACATTTACATCACATCGTCTTGATTTTTTTCCTTGCTATTTTGTGCGTGCGAATATACGATCATCTTGATGTTGCCGAGATTAAAATACGTATTATCTGTTAATTCGACATTTTGCTGCCAAGTAGTAAGACGCGATAGACACAAGAAAGATCGGATTATTTTTACCAAAACATTTGTTTGATGTTTGGTGACTAAAACTATAATTAGAACTTTTACGTCACATTCCATCGGTAGAAAAAACACTCACTCACATATGCTACAAATGTCAAAACATGTAGCAAAACATCATCCAAGTGCATATTAGACGAACCTCAAGCACCTGCTTCAGGAACTCTAAAATGGAGTTGCTCCGTGATAAAGTTAATAGAACAGAGCTTATTTTGATGAAGCAGAGTAGTTCCAAATAAACCAATAATTTTACCACGGTGCTCAAGGATTCTAGTGGTCTAACAATAAGGTGTTTGCTTTTGTGGAATGGAGTGGTCCATCGTTATCTCACTCTCTAATATTTTGTTTGGTTTGTCCAATAGAATGAATAGATCCATCATCACCTCATTCCTCACAACTTATTAAGTACTAGTACGAGGAATGTGGTCATTCCACTAAGTTTTGAGCATGTTTGGTTTAAGGGCCCGCTCCATTCGGCGCGGGTTAGTTCGACATTCGTCGTTGGTCCGGTGAATTCCATGGAACCAAGCAGCTCCACACATTAGCCTGTACTTCCTACGGAGAATGAACCAATGATGGACGAGATCATTCTATGACTTATACCAAACAATTACACAAGTTCGGATCACTCCACGACTGCCATTAAAAGAATGGACTCATGATGCATCACTCTATCTATAATAAGTTGGTTTCTCAAACCAAACGCACTACAAACGTCGGGACCCGCTCTAGGCAGTCAGGCACAATAATGCTAGATAAAGCTTGAGCGGAAGAAAGAAAATACTATAGTGAGTACGCACGTGCTTGAAAGAGTGATGCCGATCGGAAATGCGTGTCGGAGAGCCATGCTTCCGTCCGATACGATAAAGCCAGAATAAAATCCCAACGGATATAGAGAGATGGTGGACACGTATAACCCGGACTTATTTACACAAGCTTACATTTTATATATATCGAATCAGACACGTGTAGTATTTCGAGAGAAAAAAAAATCTTCAAATCGGATACCCGTACGTGAGACGGACACGGGTTGTTCACAGATCACACTCAGCACGCGGGGCGGCGAGGGGAAGGCGTGGGCTACGGTCCGGCAAACAACGACACGTTCGTCACAACTCTTCACAAGCTGACGATTCGTCATCTGATTCTGATCAGTGCTAGTACAAGGCTCCAATCACCACCAGACAGAGTTCATTTATGTTCTGGCGTAACACGGTAAACTTTCGCTGTACCTGCAAATTTAAAAGGATAGGATATATAGGGAGAAGTGGAAGGCCTTTTCCATTTCTTTTCCTTAACTTTGGATTTGGATGGAAAGAAAAGAACGCATCATTTAATTAATTATTAATTA